TAAATAAATAAAAAAGTTATGTTAGAGCCATATGAATGAAATAAGTAATTATTGATATGACAGGAGCAGCGGCTTTGACACCTGGTTGGGAATGGGAAGGTTACTGGCTGCTGCTGGATCTGTGTGGCAGCCACACAGAGCGGGTGAGCTGGGTGGTCAGTCCTCGCAAAGTTTGGAGCATGATAATCAAAATTAAATAAATCGATAATTGTGACAGAACAAAGAAGAGGTTAGGAGTTGATTGATACATGGACAGATGAGATTCCCCGAGTTAACCCAGTGCGGCCCTCTACCACCATTAGTTTGCCGTGTTTTATAATAATAAAACGTGTTTATTATTATTAACGCTTTGGTGCAAAAAAAAAAATGTTTGAAAATCGATTTATTTACTGCATGTTTATGTCTGTTAAGGCTCAGATGGAACGGCACAGAAAGCAGCCCTTTAAACCATTCAGACACGAACACAATAGAGACGCAATCAGATGACTGATGACTCCACGATAAAAACTCAATAGTCCATGGAAAAACCTTATAAGGTTGTATTAAAGCAGAAAGTACGGCGGCCATCGTAAAAAAGGCTTACAGTATCAATTATGCCGCATGAACTGATCAGTAGATTATTGCAAGGGAAGACGGTTGTAAAGATAATATCTGGATCCTGGTCTCAGACCTCAGAAACACAGAGTGCTGGATCCTCAGTGAGGTCTGCATATATTCAGATTGTCTTTATTAATTTTTAGCTCGATGGTGTACAACAGACTCCTTCTAAATTGAGTTGGCTGTATCTACAGCTTCGCCTTTCAGTCAAAATCTCATTCGTCCCCATTGCAGACATCGTTCTAACTTGACTTTGTGGCAAGTCGACTCACAGTGAGCCAAAGCTTTCTTTATGTGTCTGGGCAGAGATTAGGCAGTCATACATAGAGCAATTTAAACATTGTTTCACAGTGTTGGTAAAATTTGTTCTAAATTTGTTGTGTAAAATTTCTTCTAAAATTTCTAGAATGAATTAATGAAAATGTTTTTTCAATCTGATTTCCATCTGTTGTAACACTCTTTTTTTCATCATTTAGTGTAGGTAACATGAAATTACAAGCACAAGTGAAAGTATCAACTGAAACAGAATGACTTACAGCAGCGGGGGATGGCGCAATAATCCCATCTTATGGCTGGATCTGTGGTGTAGCACCACGGTAGGTGATCGTTACTCGGATTCCTGCAGTAGTTCTCATCCACAGTTTGACCTCCATAACTAAAACAAGGAACATTAAGACGTTTCTAAGGTTTAAAGGAGCCTCTTAAAAACAAAACTTTTAAACATGCTCAGTGAGTTCTTCAAAAATATTAAAATGTTCAAAACTATTTTTGAACGTTTTAATATTAAAAGGTTCAGGTGCAGTCTTACACTTGATGTGCACTGTGTTGGTGACAGTTATGGCATAGTTACTTAGAAAAAGTAACTTTAATTGGATTACTGACTACTCCTTGAAAAAGTAACTTAGATTACTGACTACTTGATTTGGAAAATAACTAAGTTACATTAAAAGTAACTTATTTAGTTACTTTGAGCAGCTGCTAACAACAAAGCTCCGCCACTTGTGGAAATTACTTTGATCTTTGCTAATACTTAATTTCAAGTTATTTTATAATAATAAAACATCAACAATGTGTCTCCACTTATATGGTTGAACTGAAGAGGAGATTCTTTTAATCTAGAACAGTACAAAAAAAAAAGTTCGTAATTTCTATTGTGTTTCTATTGTCTGGAAAACTCGCCCCACCCCTCCCCCCAGCCTCCAGGTTCTGTGTTAAGGCCCTGCGTTTGTGGTTAGAGCGCAGTCAGTGTACAGAGCTCCTCCTGTGGCTCCACAGCTCAGATGTCCCGCTGCACAGATTTGTGACACTTACTTTAATATCAATAATTATAATGCCGTTTAGTTGCACAACTTTACGGATTCGTTCATTCGTGGCTGTTTCACGTTTATTGCACTGTTCATATTAGTCTCGATGTTTGCAATTTTCTGGAGCACAACAAAGCTCGGCGTCATTCACAGCAAATTTACATAACAAAGACACAGCGGGATGGATCATCCAGGAAATGATGGGCAGAGAGAGCCTGACTAAAACTACCTTAACGACAGACAAATTCTGGGATTTGTTATGAGTTTCTGTTTATTTCCAAGCCCAAATGAGTAACTTCAAGTTCAAAAATGAGCCCAAAAAGTGCAACCCGTAACTCATTAAATTTGCAAGCGACTTTAAAAAAAATTAATTATTATTATTATTATTATTATTATTATTATTAATAATAATAAAAGCCAGAAGCTATTTATAATAATCGTTTATAATAATCGGACTTGGCTTGGCGGCAGAAACTCAAAATAATTCCTGTTGTTCCACCAACATGATGCGCATCTCCCTTCTCCCTCCATTGTTTATGTTTCTGTCGCTGCTGATAGTCCCCCCGGTCACTCGACAAGACGAGTAGAGGAAATACAATTAAATTCCAAAAGAAAATAGTAACGCAAAGTGATTTCGATAAGTAACTGTAGTCTGACTACAGGATTTGAAATATCAATGACGTTAGATTACTCGTTACTGAAAAAAGTGGTCCAACATCATTAACGTGTTACTTTGGTTTGTGAGGGGTCTTTGAGTCCCAGCGCTGGCAGGTGAATCCCGTTTGTGTCCAGGAAACGTTTCCTCTGTAGTCCTCACCGTTGCAGTGCATACACTCCCCTGTCATTTGAAACAAACATGCAGGATAAACATAGAGGTTTGAACTTGTTGCTCAGATCTCAGCCGTGGGCAAACAGTTATGGGACATGGAAATTATTTCCAATCTCCAACGTGTCTGCAGAGAAAGGGTGGGCAATGACGCCAAAAAATATCACGATATATATATCTAAATTCCTCAATAACGATATCACATACTATATTCCACATTTTTTAAATATGTGACTTCAATACATCAAATTTTACTTTCCTTTATATATATGGTCACCAGAATAAAAACTATACTTGTATATAAAATCACAAAATATGTTTAGTGTGTTATAGACAGTATAAAATAGATAAACTAATTTTGGCCAACACAAAAACTGTCTGAAATCATCTAACAAATGTAAATAAAAAAACTTAAATACACACAGCTAACAAACTGCTGTGGCTCAACAGATCATTAGTTTTACAATATATTAATATGTTTTTTAAGATCTCCAGCAGTTTGTACAAACTACTGCCAGGCCCCCACTCATCTCCAGATCAGTATTGAAACCCTCAGACATTTCATCCTGCATATGTGGGTGAACAATTAAAATGCATGATCATAATTTAAGTGTGCTTTAAATGTTTTCATGTGATTGCATGATGTCAATTCAGCTGGTGGAATTAAACCGAATAAAAATTAGATGTACTTGTCATTATTTTAATTTAAAACATATTTATTTTGTAAAGGTTTCTTTATAAACGCTTTTATCAGGTGTTGTCAGTAATTTTACTGACAAGTAATTTTACTTGTCAGTAAAATGACCCTTTGCATCGCTCAGTTAATTCGCTTCAAATTAGACAGAAACTGGCCTAATTCACACTTTATTTTCTGTAACATTTTACAAATTCAGCTTGGATCAGAAACTGCCAGGAAAGTTTCTGAAACTTTGTTTCATTCAAATAGAGTATTTCAGATACACATCCATATAAAAATTGTGTTGTATATTATCGGGATTAATTTCATTCATGTTTCCAGCTAGATATTTCCCCAACATACTTTTATTATATTCTGTGTTTAAACAGCATTAAATCCAAATAAAGTGTATTGTTTAAATGGAAATCAGTCATTTGGTGTCCATTAGTTCAGAGCCACATCTTTTAGATTTTTTTTGTGTACGGCCAAAATAAAGGAACTTCCTGGCTGTGCTCTTTGGAGTGGCATTATTTCATTCAAATTAAATTGAAACCATGAAATACTTTGCTTAATTTATACCTGAAGCGAGGATGTCATTGCAGTTTGGCAAGCTGCAGTACTCCCAGCGTGTTTCGTCGTCAGTGGTGTAACACCAGGGTTTCTGTCTACCATCAGGGTTGCGACAATAGTTTTCATCTAAATCGCTGAGAGAAAAAAACCAACAGATTAAACAATTGTGAAACAAAACCCATTAGAAATCCAGTATAAAAGCTTGATTGTTTTTCTGAAAACATAAGACGTTCAACTCAATTATATTGACTGGAATGCCTTATTTTACTGAAAACTCTTATTCTAGTCCGCTCATTGCTTCTGGCTCCATTATTCAAATTATTTCTCTTACGCGTTTGGAAACCGCTCTGGCACAATGTCTGGATGGTAATGTGGCGTTTGAGCTGCCCACTTCTGGCATGGTTTACCACTTGCCGTTACGCCAACTATGCCGCGGTACGCCTCACCACGGCCAGTGATGCAGACCTGCTGAGGGTTTGAGTCTGAAAGCAAAGACATATGAAGGACATACTCTTGACAATATTTTTTAAACATTTGTTTCTGATTTTTTGGTTTTGTTTTTCACTGTTGGTTTTACCTCAAACATTACGTAGTTAGTGTACAGTTCAGAGTACAGATCTCCTCTGACTGTGTTTTTGCTCAAGCCTAAATGTTCCAGATGACCAAACAGTTTAAATTAAGACAAATGCTGAGTAAATGCTAAATTATCATTTCATTAATTAAGAAAAAAACAACCCAAATCCTGTAGAAATTAATACTTGACTGTGGCAACAAAACCATGTGTTGATGATAACTGTGATTATTTTACATTATGCTTAATTAATGTCATGCCAAGTCTGGGCATTGACCAAACCACTCCAAATCCTGTCTCTAAGAAGTGAACTTACAGCTGAACCCAGGAGTCTACATATACTATTTAAAAGGACACATGCCTTTTTCCCACACTGTCTGACTTTAAATCAGAATAAACATTCATCGTCTTAAGGGCAATTTGAATTACCACATTGTTACTATTTGTTAAATGCCAGTAAACTGTAAGACTTGGGTCAAGGATCAATGTTTGCTAGAAGCCAAAGGCACCGAATTTACAATAATTTCCCTGTGGCACACAGAGGGTCACTTATATAGCCCGTAACAGAGATCTGTATTCATCCTCTGAGAAAAGCAGAATGTGATTCAGTTTCAGAGACAGAGCATTAGAAAGCACTGGATTTGGTCAATAGTGAAATGAATGGCATTGAAATCTGAGGACTTACTGCAGGGAGGTATGGAGCAATAATCCCATCTCTTGGATGGACTTGTGGTGTAACACCAAGGTCGGGAATCTCCGTTTGGATTTCTGCAGTAGTTCTCCTCAAGAAACTTGTTTGGAAAACTTTTGGAGACAATTATCGGAACAGGTTTTTGAAGTTTAGCTCAGCTACTGAAGTACAGAATGATCAGAGTTAGCTATTTATTGTGTTTATAACAATGAAAATTTCCACCATAGACCTACACTTTAGGTGTATAACCATGACTGTGAGGTTCCAAGGAGTCCCAGCGCTGGCATATAAAACCATTTTCAGTAATGAAGGTTTTTCCTTTGTAGACATCAACTCCAGGTTGCATACAGTCCTCTGTAGACATGCAATACAAACACACAGCAAAATCACATATCACTCATTTCAGTCGTTAGTGTCTGAGTGCTTTTTGAGTAAATCCTCAACTGCATTTAAAAGGTGTATGGAAAATAGTAACGTGACCAAATTATTGGTTAGTACCAATGTGTTTGATTGCTTGGTACTAACCCATTGCTTGTACCAACTGATTAGTACCAATGATGCAATCATTGGTTAGAACTAATTCTTTGGTACTAACCAGTGACCACTGGTTAGTATCATTGGTACTAGTACCAATGATATTAGTACCATAAATACTTCGGACAATAATCCGAAACAGAAAGATGAAATGGTCCAGTCAAAGCCTAGACCTAAATCCAGTTGGTAATCTGTGGTGAGAATTGAATGAGAATTGATGTCAAAAGATGTTCTCCATCCAGCCTGAGTACCAATGGTACCATTGATATCATTGGTACTAGTACCAATGATCATTGGTTAGTATCAAGCATTTGGTACTAACCAATTAATTGTACCAACTGATTAGTACCAATAATGTTATCATTGGAAACGGTACAAAAAACATAGATTTTGTGTTTTGCCGTGTATATGGATGAAAATAAAAATTTGGTACTAACCAGTTGGTAAAAGCAATTGGTTAGTACCAAGGAGTTGGTACTAACCAATGATGTCATCATGACCAATGTACTCGTGTAAAAATAATGTAAAAAAAAACAATTTTCCATGTGTAGCATTGATCCAAAAAGGTCCATGCTACACATGGAAAGATAAAATGAATATTCACATAAATATCCCATATCTTTAAAGCATAACTTCAATTTCTTGTAGACTCTCTGTGATCAATATCTGTTTCATAATGTACAGATCACACAGGCTGATCTCGCAAACACATGAAAATGGTGAAATATGTCCTGTCAGTAATTAGAATAAAAAAAAAGATCAGTTATGTATTTGTTATATGATTGATATAGAAAACAGGATTACACAACGAGTCCTACCAGCACAGCTGGGAATATCGCAGTGCTCCCAGACGGTATCTGGATCAGTGGTGTAACACCAGGGTCCTTGGCTTTTCGAATCTGGATTTCTGCAGAAGTTTGAATCCAAGTCTGCCAGGGAGTAGTTCTCTGGTTTGAACCTACAGCAGCCAAATTGACAAAAGTTATTTCCAAAGTAAGTTACTGAGGAAAAAAAATGATAATGTAGTAATGTGGGACGACATACATGGGATTGTGAGGGGTGTCTGCGTCCCATCTCTGACACAGTTTTCCTGATTTTGTTTTTGCTTGTTTTCCTCTGTAATGTGTCCCACTTTCTTTCACACACTCCAAAAGAAAATCTGGATTATTAAAAAGGGAACATTTAGGATTTATCCCCCCAACTAGCAGACATAATTAAGTTGCTGTGTTAGAATGTCACAGATCTTATCATACAGACTAAATGTTAATAACTTTGGCATGAAAGCAAAAGATATTTTGAAAATTAAAGACTTACCAATTCTTTCATACAGAATTGAGCTGGCTCTGTGGACAACAGTCCCTGTTTTTGAATTTGATGCTGTTGTCCAACACTCATGATCCTTTTCCACATATGCGAAAGACCTAAGTAAAAAAAGACCCAGTTCAGCTTTGATGAACTTCTCTGAGTGAAGAACTTGTAGTGGGAACTTACTTGCATAAGAATGATGTTTCATTGTTGCACTTGGCAGCACACTCTGTTACAGATTTAACTGAATACTTTCCTCCTTTTACCGAGACAACCATCGCTCCTTCAGTTTTAGAGTAGCCCTTCACCTTGGCATCATCGACTGGAAATGGATATGAAAACATTTCAAATGTAGATCTGCAGCATATTAATGATAACATGAATGATAACCAGTCATGGTCAGGTTTGGGTCTGCAATGTTGTTATTTGAAGTATAATGGCTGCAAACAATAAAACGAGAACAAGGCACTTCAACAAGTCAATCTGATTATTTATTGGTTTAATTTGTTTAATCTTAACTTTATGAGTGGATTATTTCACTGTTTCAACTTTTAAAGTTGCATTTCTGTAAATAATTCACACAAGACAGGAAATTCCTGTTTCCAGATTACCTGTGTGTCTCACAGTCCACAAACAGGGAGCATCCAGTTCATGACATCAGTTGATTTTGGGCAACATAGCCATTGCACAAAATGTCTATGATTTGAAAATGGCAAGAAGCCACTATAATTAAAAGGTAATCAAATGTAGTTTTCCTTATGTGGTACAATAATCTAATGCCAGTTCAACTCCTTAACATAATCTAAACATTTTTGACATCATGAAGTTGCAAAGTTTAATCCAGTCAAAGAAAATCAAAGAATTAAAGAAGTTACTTATTCCATAATGTTGTCTCAACTAAAATTTTTGCTCTTAAGTAAACAGGGTGACTTTGAAAAGTGGGGAGTCGCTGTTTAGATGTTCTGAAAGACTTTGAGTTCATACCAAAGTAAGTACATGAGAGCCTTTGTTCTCTCTGTGTATTTTAAATTCTGTCTCTGTGATGTATTTAAAAAATGTTTCATTGTTCTTTAAGTCTGTTTAACAAATGTACCGAGTTGCTTGCTGTTTGCAACATCTGCTTGCATCTGGGTTTGTAATCAGTCTGCAGGTCTGTCTGAATGTCTTATTTGCATATTAGCATCTGTAAACCTCACACACCAAAATAATGTTCTAAATGCCCAATGTCCCAACCATTGTAGGAAAACTGGGAATCATGGATAAAATTTTCCAACCTGAGTTTTTCTAGTGTGCAGAAAGATGCAGCCTTGCTCTACCTTCAGCTTTGCCTTGGTATTTGTACTTAATTTTAAAGCAAAACTATTACTCACATGTTGCTTCTGGTTCAGGGGAATTCGAGGTGTCTGCACAGCGAGACACATTGCAGTACTCCCAGCGAGTTTCAGGGTCAGTAGTGTAACACCAGGGTCTCTGGTCTTTCCCAGGATTACGACAAACGTTATGAACCAAGTGGCTAATGACAAATAACAAACCAAATTAAAATGAACCAAAATAAATACTGTAAAAACAAAACAGTATGTAGTAATCAAGTTCCTTAAGTGGTCATGTTAAAGAAATGTGAAAAAAGTAAGTTTGACAAAATTAATTAGATTGCATGTGACAAATTCACAAATTTTTTTTTTTTTTTTTAGTTGCAGCTCTATTTCTTTCAGTGCAGAGGCTTTGATCCAGTCACTCACATTAGTCCTTTCAGTTCCAGTGGTTTCTCTTACCTGCAGGGGTAGCTTTCTGGTGTATAATCATGCCTGTGAGGCGTTTGAGACGCCCACCTCTGGCATTTTTTACCAGATGTAGTCACAGCAATGGTACCACGGTAGGATTCACCATTACCAGTGATGCAGCTCAGCTCTGGCATGATAGATGGAGGCTCTGATGCTGGAAATGGAAAACAGTTTGCTGAACTCAGAATAACTACGATAAATACAAACACCAATGAACGATTCTGCTTATCTAGTATTTATTTTATATGCATTTGTGTGCTTATATGTTTGGCCCTTTTTTCCATTTTATTTATTGCAGATTAAATAAATATATTTTTAATTAAATAGAATAATAAGAACTACTGCAGACTTTGCAGGGTAAAGAGCCGTTAAAAAAAATGTGATCTTTATTGACCTACCTTCAAACATAAGTAAAGTACAGCAACTTACTGCAACGAGGAATGGAGCAATAATCCCATCGTCTAGATGGGCTGGAGGTGTAGCACCAGGGTCGTGAATCTGCATTTGGGTTTCTGCAGTAGTTCTCCTCCAGAAACTTTTCAGGAAAACTAAGAAGATCAACACAGACACAGCTTTTGAGTGTGAATGTGAGCAGTGCATACACCAGAGTGATTGACAGTGCTAAAACCCTCCTTCTGGCTCTGGTTGTTTCTGATTGAGAAGGGTCTTTGGATTGGTGCAGAAGTTGCCAATAGCAACACGCTATAACAGGCACGGTTCAGTTTGCCAGCAATGCGTTCAGCTTGGTTCGTTTTTGTTCAATACAGGGACCCAAACATGAAGTAACTAGATACTACGGCCAATAAGCTTCTCCCGGCTTAATGGGGGAAATCCACAAGATAATATGTCAATAGGCTGAGTGTTTCCACTCCCCCAAACAACAATGTGCTGCCGACTCAACTTACTGAGTAATCAAGCCTAATTCAAACACAAAGTTCACTATTTTAAAACCTCCAAAACTGCTGCTGAAAGCACCGGTTCTGTTCTTAGCCTTTTTAATTTCTATGTACTTTTAAAACAACCAATCCAGCATCACCATCCATTTTCCTTTGTGCTGATAGGCTGAACTCTGGGAAAAATGAAGATATTGGTTCTGCTGTTGTGCATATTAATTCATATTAAAGTATAATAGGAGTTTGAACTATTGAAATAGGTAGTCAAGGAGTTATTTTAGAGGGGGATTCAAGTATTCACCAGTTTTAGTTATTAGTGGGCAACTGTGGTCCCTAACCTTCCTGAATAGCAGGAGTTCACTGTTGTAGTGAAGGAAAAAAATGTTTAAAACTACTTCTTCACAAACTGGAATTTGAAGGGTCTTCCTTACACTGTGGGGACAAAGCCATGATTGTGAGGGATTTGAGAGTCCCAGCACTGACAGGTGAAGCCATTTTCCGTTACAGAGATTTTTCCTTTGTAATCTTCTCCTCTGCAGTGCATACACTCCTCTGAAGGTGCACGAAACAAAGACAAACAAAAAACAAAAGGATATTTTAGAACATTAATAAGCCCCTAGTTAATGTATTTTTTAAAAGATCTCAAAAAACAGTTGATAACAAAACATATTTATAAGTTCAGCTCAGTTGACTGGCTTCTAAAGAACAACAGTCACTGTCCATTTTAAGATCAGATATGTAGCGTATTTTCTGTTGAGGAGCCTGATTATTTGCGATATACATAAATGAATGAATCGTACCGGTGCAGCTGGGTATGTCACAGAGCTCCCAGACGGTTTCTGGGTCAGTCGTGTAACACCACGGGCTCCTGAGAATCCCAAAAGGATTTCTGCAGAAGTTGGACTCCAAGTCTGCAAGGCGATGTTCCTGTGTGAACCTTGTGTGTGAAAAAAACATTGAGGAAAATTACAGAAATACAAAAAATTGTAAAATTACAGTATGTAAACACATACATTGCCTTGTGAGGAAACATGGCATCCCATCTCTGACACAGTTTTCCTGATTTTGTCCAGTTCACTGTTCCTCTGTAATCTGCTCCTTTTTCATTAACACACTCCAGGAGATATTCTACACAAAGCCGAAAGAAGATGTGTCTGAAAGAACGTCTTCAAATATCACCGATACTACACAGCAAAACAAGTAAAGATAAAATGACACTTGCTGTTTTTTTCATATAAAACTGAGTTCCAGTTCTGCACAACAGGTCCAGTTTTTGAGTTTGATGCCCATGTCCAACATTCCTGGTTCTGCTCCAGATACGCAAAAGATCTAAAAATGAAAAATAACAGATATAAAATTTGGAAGAGTTGCAGGAACTGAATAATCTTGGTCGTCAGTAGGGAGCTTACTTGCAAGTGAAAGACGTTTCAGAGTCACATTTGGCAGCACACTCAGTCACAGACTTTACTGCATACTGGTTTCTATTCTCTGAAAGCACCATCGTCCCTTCTGTTTTGGAGTAGCCCTTCAATGGGGCTATATTGTCTGAAAAATACATAATTAATAACAATAGTAAACATAATTTATTACTTTCCACCCCATATGGCAGAACCAAAATATATTTATTTTCCATATTGTGAAGTGCTTCTACTTCTGCGTTATCCACACAGATAGCCTATAGTACAGTAGAATATTTAGGATTTTACTTATTTTGGTTCTCATAATGAGCCACTGGCGATTTGCTGACAAGAATTTAAAACTATTTTCACCCCTGCAGTGTTTCCTCAAGCACACTTGTGGAAGCAAGTGTACTTGAACTTGTGTCCCAAAGAGTACAAGCACACTTTGTTGCAGAACTCACTGTCGTAAAGTGTGTAAATCAGGTTGTAAATCTGTTTACCTGTTGAGTTGGTTTGATCAGCTTGCAGCTCTGAGAACAAAGAATGAAATGTCAGCAGGTTTTAGAAAGGCAGCGTACATTCAGCTGGTACAGACATGTTTATGGTAAATGGCCTGTATTTTTATAGAGCTTTATCAAGTCCAGTGGACTTGGAAGCCCTTTATGTTCAGTCGTTTAGCTGTGGCTGCATTGTAAACAGCCAATAAGAAATCTGAGAGAAGCTGCCTGCACCACTTCTGATCACCAGAGGCAAGAAATAAAAAACTAAGGAACACAGAAATAGACAAACCTTTAAACAACTCCAGTGAATCAAGATCCCAACAATTTGTCAACAGATTTATTTTTTACTCACTTATATACTTTTAAAAAATGCTGACATGCAGATTAAGGGATTTATTTTTTATTATTTCATGCCTTTCGTGACTTTTAAACCAACTACATTTTTACACATACATACCTTGTTTTTCCGGATTGGTATCATCTTGACAGAGGTTTCTGGATATATTGATGACAGCATTATGGAAGGATTGGTCAGTTGAAAGAAGATATACATGATTTTCAGTATCTTCAGAAGTAATTTTCCTCAGATGGTCAATGAAATATTGATCATGAACATGTCTTCCCACACCTATAAAAATGTGCTCTGTTATAGTACTGATCTAAGAAGAAGGACTTGTTGGTTATGTGTTTTTCATTAACTAATGAAATTGAATCATCCACACAGAAAACAGATCTTACCAATAGCATATATCTCTACTCCACTGTCTTTCAGATTCTGTGCAGGTCTTTTTACGCTATCCAAAGAAACTCCACCAGTGGCCAGAATGACTTTCTTTTTTGCGTCTGGACGCATCCCTGCACTGGGCTGAAAGTTGTGTTTAAGGACGTGATCCAGAGCTTTTCCTGCATGTGGTAAAGAAGAAATTCAGAAGGTAAAGAGACATTGTAGGAATGAGCATAACATGTCTGGAAAAACATAATCCAGCTGTATGACTGGAATTTGTGCTCACAGCATCCAGGAAGCATCCAGAAACTCTAAACTTCTTACATAGTAACATTTTCTCACTGAATCTAGTCTATCATAGATGTAGAGACATTTAAAAACACACATGTGTGGCTACTACATATTTGTGAGATCAATGTGTCACAAATTTCTGTTAGAACATATTAACTTTATCCAGCAGCTTCTTTGAGGCTCAAATTCTGTCTGATGAAAATAGTGGTGCTGCGGGCTCCCCCTCCAAAAATGAAAGAAAATCTCAAGAGTAACCAGTGATTCAGCATTTTCTAACTGCTGGTTCTTCTATTATTACTCAGCTGCTGCTTCTTCTAATATTGTTCCTGCCAGAATGACAGTAGAAATATGACCCAGGTTAGACCCTGAAGGAAAAAGCTGAGCCACTGTGTCAAAAGGTCCAGTTTTGAGTTGTGAACCACTCAGATCCTGAAGTCCCAGAACTCCAGAGACCCTTGATGTGGACTCAATAAGATACTGACCTATCATTCCGAATCTATCCGATTGTCGCTTTACATTAATGGCCTCCAGCAGGGACTGCTTGTTATTGTGTCTGTTCAGGTTCCAATTAGTGTGTGGAGACTCACCGATCTCAGTCAAACCTACAAAAAACAGACATGAATGGATCAAATCAAACAGAAACTTTTAGTAAAATATATTAATAATATTGACAATAAAAAACATATTACATACACTAAATTTACTCATTACACAACTTTTGTCTAAATGATAATGCATTACCTATTTGCACTTTGCTGGGACCAATGGGAAGGTTCTGAACTATCTGGTATATAAACGATTTAATTTGGTTAAAGTCCCTTAAGCCAGTCCTCAAAGAGCTGTCCAATAGGATCACAAGGTCAACTTTGGACGTTTCACACTGAAATCCTGAAAGAATAAAACAGTTTTAAAGTTATGTGAGAAATTCTGCTAAAGCTCAGGTTTATTTATCTTTTTGACATATGGCCACAGTTTTGATGATGGGACTTAAAAATGTATTGTTGATCATTGACCCAAGGATCAACAATACATTGGTCCAAGTGAACATGATGCTAATTTTATTGTCAAATATTTTGGTGATAATATCAGTTGAATAAACACAAGTTTTCCTAACTTCTTTCTTATTGCACACCAACATGATACCACCTTCCGGAAAATACTATTTAAGGAATGTTTTTGCGAAAGGATTTTGGCACCTCTCTAGGTCAAATTGACCTAACTCCCTTCTTTTCCCATCTCGTGTGAGCGCAAGGTTGGATCAAATGTAGCTTGGGAAGGAAGGCTGTTTGGACAGATAACAACAATTTGAGATAAATTGGCCTATTCAGCAATTTGGAAATGGAGCAGATGTTGAGTAGATGAGGTCACGAATATTTTAAAGGTTGTCCAACACCCACTCACCAGGATCCTTACGCAAATCAAGGGTAGCAACATCATTGGTCGAAACGTTCCAACTCACATCAGTGAAGATGAGAGTGTATAAAAAAGGGTGATGTTAAGAATACAGGGAGATTTTTTGTTGAGACTTTGGAAGATTTTTGAGTATTCCTGTACTTATTTTAAAGGTTTTATTGGCTCTAGTGGCCTTTATTGGATAGTTAATTGACAGGAAAGTGGGAAATGAGAGAAGGGGAAGACATGTGGCAAAGGTCGCCAGGTCAGGAATCAAACCTGCGACAGCCACGTCATGGACTAAGGCCTCTATATGTGGGTTGTGAGAAACCCCTGCGCCACCATATCAGTAATAAACATGACATCAGACATGAACATCAGTGGCATGGAGAGTCTATCCCACTGCCAAAGTATTAGCTGTCATTTGAAACTGCAATTTTGCACATGTTGATGTTGCGATGGCAAATATAGTTTGATATATTATGCAGCTCTAGATCACTCTGAGCATCAACATAGTGGCCTCCATAGATGTTGCCCTGATGCTCCTAGTAAAACAGTAGAGTCCTGTAATGGCATGCGAAGAGTTAACACAGTTCATTGGCTTCATTAGCAAGACACACATTTATGTGGGAATTTTACAAATACATAGCAAAAAACTCAATTCTGTTGAACAAAGCTGAAATAATGTCCATTGAATTACACATAGATCTCGTAATATGACATTAGTGACTTTTGTCCTGTCACTTTAAAAACAGCTGAAATGAATCTGTTTACCTGCAGCGTTGTGAGGCTGGTCAGCTCGCAGCCCTGACAACAAAGAATGAAATATGGTATTAGAAAGGTAATGCACTTTCAGCTGGTACCGTCATGTTTATGGTAAATTGCCTGCATTTCTTTAGACGACTTTAAAGCTCTTTACATTCAGTCATTCAGGTGTGGCTGCATTGTAAGCAGCCCTGACAACATCAGAGAAGCTGCCATGCACCACACTTTGGCTTTCACTCTTCATTTAGCAACTATTTGACTTTTATTTTGACTAAAATAATCACTCATATTTTTGTCTTACCAGTACAGATGAAGGCTCCCAGCAGAAATGCTACCTTGTAGAAGTCCATGGTGAGGACCTCACACCTGCTGTTCATTATTTGCACTCAAACATCCCTGTAGAAGGGTAAATATAATGTATTGGATGAATAGGGCAGTTCAGATTTTAGCCAATGGTTGGCCTGACGGGTAACTCAAAGAGCAACAGTCCATAGTCCTTGTTTATATATTTTTCTTTCCAGTAAGTGAAGCTTTGCTATTTACACTGTCAAAGTTTGATCCATTTTTAATCCATTTTTAATTTCTCTCTCTGACTAACTTTTTGTCTCATGAGTTTAAACAGCTGTAATTAATGCAGGTGTGGACAGATAAGTGGGAAAACTTTTTTAAAAAATCCTTGATGCATCAATAACTTGTTTCCTTCACTAGAAAAATCCAAAATGATATCAAGAATTGTGTAACCTTGTTTTCTACAGTGATGCAACAGTAATGCTGGGAAGCCAGTGTTTGCAGAGATTGTCATTGACCCAGTGGAGTTATACATTAAAAATAAGGCACCAAATAAAGGAGCGCTTGGCCAAAAAGAAAATAATCCGTATTTGGCTAATAATTTTACTTTTCTCCAGCACATTTGTTAGAAACAAGATGGCAGGACCCTCTTTGCTCATGCCAAATGTAGGAGCTATTTCTCCATTTTCAGTTATATCTTAGAATTTAAATTGTTTAGTTTCTTCTTATTTTTTGATTAATTTTTTAGTTGATTTATCATTAGAATTTTTGTTTGATTTGTTATTTAGAATAAGTTCTTTGATTTGACTTAGTTAATTTCAGGTTGGGATGTGGGTATTTCACGGTATAAATAGGTGGGTCTTAGGTAGCTTATTATGCACATGGGTGGTCACAAGGTTTTTTACCAGTCGTCAGTCAGAGAACAGGTACAGGAATCAGAGCAGGAGAATCCTGTGAAGTCTGTAACCTTTTGCCTGAACTATGAAATAAAACAACCAAAGAACTCCATTTTGACTTTTTGATCCTTTGTGCTGCGTTAACCAGAATCCACTGTGCATCAAGTGACTATTTGAGTTGGATTCACTTTTTGTTTTGATCACCTTTGAGTTTTTTCATTTTTGAATTTAAGTTTTAGGACAAATAGTCACTACACCAAATATCTTACTCTGCTGCTGACTCAATGACTAAAGTTAGAAAAAGAAAAGAGGTTGATATTTTAACAATTTAATTTAAAAAACACACAAAACCACATATATGATGTTTGAACTGCTTTGTTGCTGAAATGTGCTGCACATGAACTCTACTTTTTGACATGCTCATTGGAGTTTTTCATATTTTGTGGTGGTAAAACAAGAACAATCCATGTTCTGATATTGACCAAACACAAACGTGCATAATTTCTAAGTTTATTGAAAATTATTCACGCTTTTCTTTTTTTTTTCACAAATGAAAAAATAGCTTTTCTATATAATCTAGTACTACAAACAGACTTCTAATGATGTGTTCAGGTTGAAACCAGAGCATTTTATTACAATCTCAGCTGTTCTGCAGACGCTTTCAGGAGGACTTCAGTCAAACAGCATCATGAAGACGGAGGAACAGCAGAATAAATTCTTTGCAGAACAAATTTTCACACTTGCTTGCCCTTTTCTTTCCTTTCCTTTCCTTTCCTTTCCTTTCCT